GTTAAACGGAGCTCGGGAAGCTCTAGCTTCCTTCTCTATCAAGTTTAGCCAACCCGACTCGAAAACGGGTTAAACCTAGACCCAACTAAACCGGCCCAAGTTTTTAGGACATGGATTTCAGCCTACTAAACCCAACCTAAGTTTAATAGCCCTAAAGCCCAAAACCAAGGGCTCCAGCCCTATCTGAACTTAAACTCAAACCTAAGCCAAGGCCCAGTTGCCCAGATGCAACCATGAGGCCTAACTCAGAGAACCCAAGCCTAACTCAAATGGACCCAAACCTGACTTGGATCCTAGAGCCTTGGCCAGCACGTGGATGGCGCGTGGGCCTGCACATGAGGGTACCCGAGGTCTCCTCTTTACGTTTTTTTGACGTCTTGAATCCGTTTATGATGTCCGGTTTCTAAAATTCAATCGTTAGGGTAGAGTTTTATTAATGGGACCCTTTATGTGCTTAGGTACAATCATTAGCGGTGTTTCTATCCCTCATATTTCACACGGCGCTTCGATGGACGAAGTATCTATAAGTTGACCCCTTTCAAAATGCATAATTTTGCTATTAGAAATGCGTACATGAAAAGCATGATTTAATCACTACATTTTATGAAACGTTTAATGAGTAAATTAGATTTTACTTTTTATGAGATATCATGCTTTACTAAGAGTATTTTGGAATACCATGCCTTATTGATTTCATGTTCTTTGTAGTATATATGATGGATGACTATATACTATGAAGAGGTTTTGAGATATGATGTTTGAGCTACTGAGCTCCATTAAGATATATGTACTTATGTTGGAAATATTATATACAATGTTTTTGTGCTTATCTAGTGGTCACTGTTCTGCCTACAGCATATGTCCTGCCTACAGGCAAATGTCTTGCCTTTAAGTGAGTATGATACCACTAATTAGCACACTATATATGATATATGTTTTATGAAAGGTTTTATGACATGCCAGGTTTTTGGAAAACCTATTACTTATTATGTTATACAAGTTTTCTAAACCTGGGGGTTAGTACATTAAAGATTAACTGTTTTAGTACTACTTATATATCAACTTTATCCACTCATGTTTTGTTTTGTGCCCCCTTAGGACTTAGAATCAAGGCGTACAATCCCGGTGTCAAGGCACTCTCGCATTGGCACCTTCGAGTCATATTGGTGTATGACCCATCCTTTTGTTTGTTCAATTTTATATATTGTCTCGGATTAGCTGTATGCTCTAAACATATTCCACAATTGCATATTCATTATAATTAAGTTTACAAGTTTTATTTATGTAGGTTAATTGTTTCTAGTTCTCATGCATCCTAATATGGCTTTGTCACCTTCGGGTGTCGGTCAGTACGTGCTTACCCTGGTGTTTGGAGAATATCAGGGTCAGGCGTGTCATGACTCCTCGAAATGAACTCCTCTTTGATTAAAACAGAAACGTACGTGAACCCATTGCCCTCTTGTTCTCCCTTTGAAGCTGCAAACCAGGTGCGGTGAGATCGTGAGAGATACGACGCGAAACGGTGCAGAAATGTAGTGCAAATGCGACGGGATGCAAGTCTAGGAGATGCAGTGATTGCGAGAGATATGAATACGAAGGGATGAAGAACAATTCACGGCGAGAGTGTAGAATCAACGGCGAGATTTCAAAATCATGGACTGCCTAGACTGGCCGCTTACCACCACCTAAACCGCCTAAACCACCTAGAATGCCTAGAAAATACCTAGGCAGCCGCCTATACCTTCCTTGATTTTCATCAACAATTTGGCCTAAATCAGATCAGCTTTCACCGTTTAGCGCCTAAGCAGCCACCTAGGCCGACTTTTGGAACACTGGGCTCAACTACATAAAAGATCATTTCCATTACCCTCTTACCACAATTCCTTTCACAAATTCGAATCTCCAACCACAAGACGCATCATGAATGATTCACAAATACTTTCATTTTATCATTCACGTGTTCCAAAATATATTCTCAACCAAGAGTAATTCCATAGTCAGTAACAAATAGACATCCAACAAAACAATGATGTACGCATATCCAAGTAACACTCAACAAGAGTAATCAATCAATAAGAGAAAAAAAATAAAATAGAATTCTATGAAATTTAATATAATCAATCTATCGTAAAAGTCTGCCATATTGCTCCTACTTGAACTCCAAAGCATTGCTCCAACTCTTTATTACAAGAGTTCACCACCTTGATAAAATCCTATTCACAAGTATAAGCAAATCACTATATGCAAGACATGGACTCTAACTAATCAAAGTACTTGGATTACTAATATACCATCACTCAAATCAAATATCAATTTAGTTGAACTATAATACTATACAAAATAGTTTTGTGTATCGTAAACATATGGTGTAATTTGTATAAAATAACATGTACATAAAACCGTTTTACCAACATGCTTATTCATTTTTAACTTAAACGATTGAAATGAAATACAGTACGTTGTAGCTACCCCTATTACTACACATTAACCAAGTACTCTAACTCTAATGAACTCAAACTGATACTACAAGTTAAGTTGCAACAACCACTAAAGTACAAAGTTCTAAGGCCATCTCCAATGGATTAGGTCATAGGGTTATAGTCTATGCTATAGCCTGAAATGAGAAGAAAAAAAACCCATCTCTGGGCCAACAGAGAAAGGGACCCACTAGGCCAAAGAGAAGCCTGATGGCCATCGGGCTGGACAAATCCAGCAGCCCGTTTTAAGGGCCTAATTTGCTGCAACCAACAGTCATATGACGTTAGTTGACATCATGTAACCGTTGGATTTTGAAATTTTATTAATTTTTTTAAGGAAGAATTTTTTTTTTTAAATTCTATTTATTTTTTTTTTTTTTATAAATACCTAAGTATTTTCTACACCATTTCTCATATCATTTTCACCCATCCATACTATCTTACCTCTTCCATCATTCCTACACCATTTCTCACATCATTAAGTTGTACTTTAATATTTAAGGTGTTGTATTTCAATGAAGTTGTATCTAAATTAAAGCATTCAATAACATTAAACTTAAACAACATGAAACTTAAAACAAAATTTAACAAATAACAACACAATCTCCACCCTAGTCACTCGAAATCATATACGAAAATTTATTGAGATTATATAAAGATAAGAAATCCGGAGGCTTATTCATTTAGTGACATGAGGCACTTAAAATATGTTCAGAAACCTTATTTTAATATGGTAGTTTAATTCAATTAACCCATTAAATTAAAGAAAAAACATAAAAAATAAATTATTGAGGGGCTAAAAAAGAGCCCATTCGGTTGGAAATAGTATATAAATATGGTCTGACACTATTCATTAAAAAATAATTTCTTGCAGGGTTATATTCTGGACGGGGCCTAAACATAGCCCCTTCGGTTGGAGATGGCCCAAGTACCCCGGTTCTAGTTCCTTTGTACCAACTTATCCAAATGACACCACAACTTTGTCCAAGGTTGTTTAATACCTATGCTTTGATACCATTTTGTCATGCCCCGAACCCGATGTTGGCGAAAAAAATAACCCCACGCACGGGTAAAAATAAAAATAAAACAAAAAACAAACTTCTCTTATAAAACTAACTCCAAAAACTTTACAGGGTGTACAAAAATAATAAAAACTCTTAAATTCATCACTGTATATTGATGCACAAAAAGAAATTTATCTCCAAAATAATCACTTAATCCATGTGACCATAAGCATCAATATAATGTTCAAGAAGAGTTCAACAAAATCTTACTTATGTATACATCAGTTGTCAACCCTTTGTCATTTAAATATGTATATATAATCCCCTGAATCCTATATGTTACTCCCAGTTCAATACTACTTCTATCTTAATTGGATCCACACAATTTCCATATCTAGATAGAGTAGTATTGAATTGGGAGTAACCTATAGGATTCAAGAGAGTTCTAATTTTATAAATGCAGGTAGTTTAGAAGGTGAGTTTAAAAAGTAAGTTGGATATAAAGATACAAAATATAGGGTCAAATAAAATTTTCCTTTATCAAATTCTTAAAAGCAATAACAGATTTCAAATTTTATAGTTGCAGAGATTTTATATGAAAGTTTACTAAACACTATAACAGTGCGTATATATGTTTTTTTTCCTTTCTAAAAGTACTTTTTAACATTTTTGTTTACCAAACTAGCCCTTGATCTGCCCCCAATTTTGTTGACAGTTTTACCTTTTTCAGCAGTCCTACTCCTCCTAGACGCCAAATGCCACGTAAGTTGCAGACCACAGCCTTTATCTCATTCAAAAGCTTGCGCATGCACTTTTTGATGCGCAAGAAAACGAATGAGGATCATCTAGATCTTTAAATTATATCCGTTCATCGTACATTATGTAGTTATAAAATATTTTAAATACTTTATTTAAAATTAAATATGAATAATACCTGATAAAAACTAATCGATATACTATGAACAGACATAATTTGAGGATCTCACGAATCCTCACAAAGGTGTAAAATTGATTCCCTTAGAATAAAACAAAAAAGTCTCTGGATAAGACCGGACAGAAATTCCGTGCAATGAAAGCCTGGTTTGATCCAACGTTATTTCTCATTGCTAATGTAATATATAATCGAAAGATTGTGTCATTCGACGTCGTAATTCTTTTTTATGCTAAATAAACAAGAAAAAAATCGCACAAAAGCTTATTTTAGTCGGTTTATTGCGAAAAAAGCATAAATTACAAGATTAAACTAGAAGGTTGAAATGAAAAGAAACTAGAACGAACCACTTTGAAAATGGTTCGTAGTGAAATGAGGCTCTTCAGTCTAAAACCGATTCCTTCGGCTGAATTTGTAGTACGATTATTGCACCGAAACCTTGATTTGGGATGTTACGTCAATTGAGAATCATGCTATGCTAGATGTAGCAAAGCAATAAGATTAAGAGATGATGATCAATTTTGGCAAACGTAAATTCATCTAAACTATATGGAGAAGAGAGCGAGTTTGAGCTCAGGACACAATGAATTAAAGAAGAAAGCACTACCCGCCATTAGCAGTTACTAGGAAATTATTAATGCGAGAGATGTCGCATACAACAGAATGCATGTTAAGTTTCTCCCGTGATCTTGACGAGAGAAATAACAATGTAGGAAAGAATGTGATAGCCATGAATATAATCTCAGCATCAGAGAATCAGCTACCCACCTGAATCTCCGGTTGGGGAGCTGAAACCGACATTTTTTCATGTCTCGGACACACCATTAGATTGGTTGTCAATTTTTGAACTACTTTCATCGATTGTGCCATTTACATGACCATTAGATTTTGAACCGTAGATGTGCCCCATTTTTGCCCGTTTAGTCTCCAAGTATTTCTGGTTCTCCATAGTTATTGGTGCCAACAATGGGACTCTGCCAGCAATGGCCAAGCCATAACCCTTGAGACCAATATATTTTGCAGGATTGTTCGTCATCAGCTTCATTGTTCGAACACCTAGATCTCGTAGTATCTGCGAAAGAGTTTAGTCATGAATTTAGATATCAAGACAATCCACCTTACGCTATGGGAGATTGTTTCAAGAAACAAGCCTAGGAAAATCTATATGCAAATTTGCCTTAAAAGCATTAGTGTAACAATTATAAATATCAACATATAGTCACAAGAAAGTAATTCAAATAACAATTTGATAACAGTAACCAACTCAAAAGACCTGAAGCAGAAGATTCCCAGCCCCAACGCCAAAACATTTCCACCATGGTGATGAGAAAGGAACTAGAATGTGATGAAAAAACTACACGGTATTTTATGGATTCACATCTAAATCAAAGTAATTATAGATTTAATGTTCTAGATACTATATAAGGCCATTAAATCTATTGTCCATAAATGAATCCCGATCCATTGTAATCCCCAACAACTAGCGGAATTTATTAAAATGGGATCGAATCAATTCTGCAATCCAGTCAGCCAAGAAAGGGACAATTTTCTGGTGAATGAAAGGCTCATGTAAGCAACAATTTTAACAATATGTCAATACATCTACGAGAAAAGATACGCAATGCTGAAAATGATGACACAGATGATATGATTTACTGCTAAGAAACCAGTACCTGTGCACCTATGCCATACTCGCGAGAATCAACAGGTAATCCCAGCTCCTCATTGGCTTCAACAGTGTCACGCCCAGCATCCTGCAGTGTATAAGCTCGGAGCTTGTGACCCAAACCAATTCCTCTACCTTCATGTCCACGGAGATACACCAAAACACCCCTACCAGCTGCTTCAATTTGCTTCATTGCAAGTGCAAGCTGGTTTCCACAGTCACATCTGGCTGACCCAAATATGTCACCAGTGAGGCACTCAGAGTGTACCCTCACAAGTATTTCTTGCCCGTCAGCAATTTCACCCTGTACATTTTAAAATCCTGCAAATAGTTACTTACATGAATAAACATTGATCAACCACAGAATATTGTTTTACTTTTCATCCAACCCTCACAATTTAGTGTATCTCCCAACTAGTTATATGAAAGTATGATACAGAATACAACCATGCTATGGAAAGATAGTAGGACAAAAATTGTTGTGATATGAATTTATGTAGGCAGGGAGAGAAATTGATGCAGTAGAAAGGAGAGAAAAGAAGATGGGAAAGATGTTGAACAGAAGGATAATGAGAGGCAATTAGGGGGTATGACAACCTGTTTCTTTATTATCACACCAATCTGCCAAAGTCTGAAAACCTATTACAATGAGGCCTTTCAGTGAAGGCAATCCCATGAAAAAAAAAAGTACCTTAGACGTCCTCATAAAGTATTGAGACAACATGATAAATAAAACCCTAAACTATTAGAAAAACAGGTAGATAACAGCTACCCACAATTCTAATTCCACGAAATAAACATTCAATAAAATAAAGGGAGGTCTAACAAAACACTCTCAGTACTGTTCACTTTTAACGAAAAACCACATTTATACCTTTCTCTGGTACTATTCACTATACCTTTAAAAAGGGCTTTTCATTAAAAGAGAAGCTTTTTGGACTTTTTGTTAGTTTTCCTTAAAATATAAACATAATTTCAAAGCTCTTCCTTATCCCTCAATAAATAAAAACTATATTCTTAAATCCATCATCAAATAGAGTCTGATAAGAAACTTAGGATACAGAAACAAGCTAAACATAATTAGCTGGTAGATGGTAGAGGATAGACAATTGCACATCCAGCTAGAAAACTGTGGAGTCTTGAGAAGGAAGACGTAAGGGCAATCTCCCATAGAAAAATATAACCTAAGATTACCTTCCTCTTACTTAGCTTTCAAGTTTCAACCCTTCTGGCAGATCCTTCATTGGATAAAGATAATATCCCTGAAGGTTTCTAGGAGCTGTCAATAAAGAAAACTATAACAGGTGTCTATGAGCTAGTTCAATAAAGATAATTACATGACACCAAATGACTCCTTGTAGCATCAAAAAATTTGACCATTGAACAGTCGTAATATCTCAAGTTCATTTGCTCACAACGGATGACTGTTCATGACAAGACGCTGCCAATAATATGAAGCAAAGACTTAAAAGCATGAGGTGCAAGCCTCGTGATTAATTGATATAAACCTTTCACGTTTAGGGGTATTATCCTAGAGCCACTTGTCGAAAATCGATATATCATCTCAAGGGCCTTTCATGTCATCTCTTGTCATTTTTCTGAAGTTTTCTCGATAGACTCACATCTGAGGATTCCCAAATAAGTGATTCCATAAATTCATCCTAAAAAAAAAAGTACACAACATCTGGTATATGTACTAAAAAAATGAACTCTAAGAAGTGAGCAAAAATAATATCTACAAAAACAATCGCTGGTAACTAAGCAACCAAACACTGACATTGTAGAATGCTAACACCAAGAGAATTCTACAGCACAAAGATAGCAAAACAATTCACGAATTGACAATTGAGTAATAAGGGAAGAATTCCAACCAACGGCTATTTATGATGGGTGTCGGATAATGAAGGTTAGATAGTTTTAAGGGGAGAATACTCTATGTCAATGATTTACTTACTTTAACCATAGCAATGTGCTCAATCCCATCGAGCAATGATTTATAACAGTAGGCTTCAAATGGCCCCCACATTGTGGGTATTTGTGCAACTCCAGCCCTCTCCACCAACTTATCTCTTTTCCTTCTATATCTGAAAGTTACAATTCATAGACATCGTAATTTGAATTTCTTCCACTAAATCTGAAGAACATGACAAAAATCAACATTTAAATTTACTTGTCCTAACAGAAGTATACCAAGAAGTAACAATAACATTAATTCATTACTTCACAAAAAAGTTAGTCTCTTGAAGAAAAGGAAAGAAAAGAGGGCAAGGTTTTTGGACAGCCCTTAAACCATTCTTAGCTGAATGAAAGAAATAGAGGTTATAATTATTTAAAGTATATATAAGCTGTCAAATAAACATTCTTCACTCACTCGTAGATGCTAACTCGAGGATTGCAGAATGACCCAAAAAAATATGTAATAACCTTTATTCAGTTAATGAAACAGTTGTGTAGTCATCTGTGAACTAGTCAAGTATTAAGGATTTATTTGGTAACTACAGCTAGTACACTTTGAACACATAATGTCCAGACACAATCATTCAGAGTACCTTATCAAATCAGCGATGGAAACAATTTTCAAGTTTTCTGCCCTTGCAAATTCGAGAAGCTTTGGTAACCTAGCCATAGAACCGTCATCATCCACAATTTCACATAAAACTGCTACTGGATCCAGCCCAGCCAACATAGCAAGATCAACTGAAGCTTCGGTGTGACCGGCTCTTTTTAGAACTCCTCCCTCTCTGTACTTTAGGGGAAAGATATGTCCTGGGCGGTTGAAATCTTCAGGTGTTGAATCTCTTGATGCAAGAGCCAAGACTGTTGCAGCTCTATCACGAGCAGAAACACCAGTTGTTGTACCACGTTTTGCATCCTATGGAGTCCAATACAATTGAGGTCATCCACATAAGAGTTATTATAATTCACAAGACAGGTATATAATCAATAAAGTAATAGATTACACTTTTACTACCCATCCCTAAGACAAAGACAAGGTTGGCAATACCAATTCTAGTCAGCTCCACTGTCCCTAGAAAATATTGAGTCAAATCCAGCTACGTATATACAATATCCTTTTCACTCTTTCCCTAGCCATTGAGAGATCCAACAAACTCGGATGCAGTTACTGACCAGAATTGTAAAATACATGGAACAAGAAACCTGTGATCCTGATAAGGTCATTGTTCCTCTCCTAATCGCACATCTCAATATGTATAATTGGGTTTAATTTGATGGAAAGTTTAAATACATACCACTGAGACAGTGAATGCCGTACAAAGTTTTTCTTCATTCTGTGTCACCATAAGTGGAAGTTGCAACCTCTCCAAGTCTTCTCCTTTCATGCTCACACAAACAATCCCAGTTCCGTGCTTGACAATAAATGCCATAGCTTCTGGTGTTGCCAAGGAAGCTGCCATTATAAGATCTCCCTCATTTTCTCTATCTTCATCATCTACAACGATAACCATCTGCAATATTTTCTTGAATTAATGATCTGCTATATTATCCACCTCCAGAAAAATTAAGCACAAGAAAAGATAAAAAAAAAAAAAATATATATATATATTCCTTAATTTCCCAACAGAAATAATTGAGAAAATGACCAACCTTGCCTTGACGTATATCTTCAATGGCCTCTGGAATGGAAGAAAATCCGTGTAGAGGATGATCTAGATCACCTTCATCATTTTCAGAAGAGAACCCACTAAAAGTTGGGGTTGTTTCTGCTGAAAGTGTTCCGAAACCTAATGCATCAGGTTGTATTTCACTCCCAGTTGGGTTGCCATTTGGGTAAGACAGGAGACCATCTTCTCCCAGCAAAGCTCTTGCCTGAATTGATCCCTTGGAATGAAAGCACAATTTCCATGATACACTCGGTGTGAAAAAACCGGATAATCGCCCATTTGCTGCAAGCGAAGTCCCAGGATATAGAATAGTGTGCCCTCTGAATATAAAACTAATTAGACATGTATACATAAACATAGGGGGAAGGGACTACAATTTCAGAACAAACCTAGCATAGGAGAAGAGTTTCTCAATTGTGCAAGCAGCATTTTTGATAAACCGTGTTTACCTGCTAACCTTAAATCACATATAAATTTATTAATTAGGTCATAAAACCCATAGTTCTTAACCAAAATTGTTGAGGGGTCAGGTATAGTTTACCCTCACTTTCATATATTTCTATTCTTCTACCCTCTAGAAAATAGATCTTTCTTATCCACCCCCTACTCAGACACTTGTCTTTTTTATAGTTTACCTTCATTATCATACTTTCTATTCTATTTACATTCTAGAAATCTTCACTGACAACGAGTTTTTCAGCGTTTCGACTCAAATTAACCAGTTGGCCCAATTACAAAAGTTATTTCACGCGACCTTCTCTACGTACCTATGCATTTTCTGGGACCGAAAGATAAATGGAAAATTTTAGGGGGTGCATGGAGAAAAAAATGTTCATAATAGTGGGTTTTAATAATTCCCTAAATTCTTAATCACAATTTAGGGTTACAAAACCAAGAATTTCTGAACTAAACAATGAATTTCCAATTTCCATTAACTACCTGAATCAGTGTAATGTCAATTCATCTCTCCCATATGAAGATTTGAACATTAAACAGACATTACATACAATGCCACTATTCTGAAACACGAAAAACCTCCATAATCTTCATCAATTTCAGGATTCACATTTCAGTTCACTGTAATTATTCAAATCAAATTACGAAGAGAGAGAGAGAGAGAGAGAGAGGGGCTTACGGATAAGGGGAAAGAGCCTTTGAGGAGCAATAGGGGTTGATGGAAGCCATTGGAAGCCTGGAGGTGGAGCTGCTGCTTTCAGGCTTTCAGCCCAGCTGTGTTCCGTGAGAGAGAGAGAGAGAGAGAGAGAGAGAGAGAGAGAGGGCGAGAGAAATAGAAGAAAAGAGAAAGAGAGAGAATTCAGAGACTTTGAGGTGGTTGCGCCGGTCGGTTAACGAAAGCCACCGCCAAGCAATTGCAGAGAAACGAAACGGAATGACTCAATTCAACGATGCATATCCAGTATTTTCAACAACAACAAAAAGACGGTTCATATCCAGTGGACATTCAATATGACGTCAGCCTTATCTCGCCACCATAGTTTGTGTTAGGAAAAGCACCTTCGTTTTCGTTTTGCCCAAAAAATAAAAAAATAAAAACAAAGAATAGTACTTAGTTATTCAAAGGATGTATAAGAATCCTACTTAAAATTGTTTATAACCGATTATAGAATTTTGTATTTATGATCATAATCGTTCATATTATAAATCATTCTATAAAGGCTATTTTTACAAAAAAAAAAAAAAAAATCAATTAGAACTCAAGTCGTTTAATCATCGAATTGTATAAAAACAGATGGATGAAATTGGTAAATTTATTACGAACCGTTTATGTATTTGCTACAATAGATTAACTAAACAACTTTAGTTTTAATTCTTATTTTACTGAGATGATCTTTACTGAGCGATTTATAATAGCGATTTATAATATGAACGATTCTAATCATAAATAAACTTCTGTAATTTGAACATGAAGAGTTTTAAGTAAAAGTTCCTCTTTATCCTTATCCTTAAGTAGGCAATCATGTTCAAAAACAAAAGCACGCAGACAAGGTTATATTAGAATATTCAAAAAAAAGAAAAGTTCAAATTTATTTCTACACTGAACTTAAATTTTAAACGTGAATTGTCTTTTACTTTGTTGACAATTACCATCAAGCGGAAACAAAGTGTTGTATTTGATTCAATGGTGCTATCATCATAATAGGTGACCTATCATCACAATCTATGTCAAGGTTTTCTTGGTCCATATGAGTGTTCATGTTATGATGTTCTATTTGATTCTATTCAATGAAGCACCCAATGATCGTGTAGAGGGATAGGATTCTTGAACTTTTAGAAACAGATCAAACAAAATGCCTCAATTAGTCCACTTTGGTGAGCATGACGTTTTACTACTGAACAAATTGCATATACTTCATCGAAGCAGTCAATATATAATCATTCAATTAGAACAGTATTGAATTGAGCATGAGAAGCGATCCGGTGGACTGCAAGAAACGGTTCTATTTGACATAGAGCATGAGAAACAATTGGCTACAATGATTCACTTATTCTTCGAATTTCATTTCTCCACTTTGGTATTATGCTTTTATTCGGATGCAGTATATATTGTCTTGATTAATCTTCACGTGATGGAACCTGAAGTTGGCTAATTTTCTTTCCAGCTTAGTCAAGCTCCTTAGTTGTCTAGTTTTCGAAGATTATCGTCACAAACCAACCCACGAACCAACGATCTAATTAAATATTTGTACATATATAGTTCTCAGTAGTACTAACACTAAGCGCATGAAATAACAGGTTTCTGTATTGAAATTCAATTAATGTTTAAAAGTGAACAAAAAATTAAGTGTTCTGCTAGATGGTTGCTTTCATTTCCTTCCATTTATGTGTTTTTGTTTGAAACTTGCAATATAGTTTTATGTATCATATGCGTAAATAATTACAATGACCGAATTCGTTTGTGCAGATGTGTTTATTGGTGCGAATATAGGGACACACCTCTTAGACATGCCATGCCCAACGCAAGCTGTAGCCCTCCTAAAAGCTCGGCGAATTCGACATGTCCGGGCATATGACACTGACTGTGCCATGCTTGTTGCACTTGCAACTACAGAAATTAAAGTTATAATAACTGTCCCGGATGAGCAGATCCTTGGAATTGGCCAATCTAATGCCAATGCAGTCTGCAGCTAATTGGCAAGGTGGGTTGCTCAGCTTTATTACAGGGAGAACCATGCTACGAGCCTGACGACGTGACTGCACATGCAATTTGACTGTTACTATCATCAGATGGGGATGACTTTGGCATCATGCGACTTCAATGGAGTGGCTACAATCACTACAACAGATCCAAGTAATACCTCAACTGTATAGATGCAACATTGTTACTCTTTTGTGCATGGTGCATGGGACATCATGGCTCCATCCTTGAATTCGACTAGTGTGGATTCTTCTTCCTACGACTTCTATAGCAACGCTTTTACAAGCCTTCTTCTGATGCTTGGAGTTGTCATCGGGGTTACAGTTTTCTTGTAGACAGATACATATATGTGCAAAACATTCAGAAGAATTTTGAGATAAACAGTGCTCAGGTGTACGTTTTGCTTCGCTTAGAGGAGGAGGTAGTAGTAGTTGTTTGGGGCAAGATTTCCTTGGCACAGCTCCCTGGGGGTTTGGCACTTGGCGTGTTGTGGGGCTTGCTCTCACTGCTTGATGTGCTGCAATGAGAGTTTTGTAGTTAGTTTGAAAGGTGTCATTGTGGGGCCTTAGGTATAGGCCTTGAGGCTCACAATCAAAACTAACAAAGTGTTAGGCATGTCACTGTTATCTCAATATAACAGATGTTTGAACAAGTGTGGTTTAAGTTGATTACTTGCGCCCCAAGTTACTTGAGCTTCTTGTTATCAAAGGATTGTCACAAATGGGTTAAGTCTGCATTAAGTTCTTTTTCTTACCTAGTAAACATGGACTTTTAGTTCATAATCTTGTAAGTTCAAAACGAAGGGAGTTCAGGGTCCTTTTAACCATTTCCTCAAACCACAGTTTGGACTTAGCAAAAATAGGTTCATTAAGTTAACCATATTCGAATGCAAATGGGACTTTGAGATAAGAAATAATTGGAAATAACTTGAATACATGTTGAAAAGTACATTAAGTGACATATCTACTAAATGAAAGTACAAACAAAGAGACTGGGGCAAGATTTCACCTTGTCAGGCAAGGTTGAACTCTTTGCAGCAACTTCTCTTTGATTTTACTGAGGTTGTAAGCTAAAAGGGATGGATGGTAAACATGTTTTACATGAGGGAATCAATGCTACAACACTAATGGATAGTAGCAGAACTTTTACACTAGACAAAAGATCGCTTATCTGAGGGAACCATAGCTAAATGGACTAAATGTGGGTAAGTTTCAACTTTTCTAGGTACGAACTGGCTTGAGAGCGGAGTTTGTATGTTGATTGATTGGTTGTTTGAGTGTCCTTGTCTCTGGTGTCTCTTTCCCTTTTTATAGATAATTTGGCCTGATTGCTTTAGCTTTACTCTTGGTCGAGATCTCTCGGATGATAGCGAGTCATCATCTATTTACTTATAATGCCACTAGAAAGTGCTTTTTGGCTGGTGGTGAGTTGGTCTCTGTCATCTGTCACTTCATCCCTAGGCACATGGCCTATGCCTTGGCTGAAAAGGCCTTCTTTTGCATTAGGATTCATTGGTGGGCTCCGGGTAAGTCCCTATTTCGCTGTGACACCCTTGGGCCTCATTTCATAAAGCCCATTGTTAAATATTAACCAAAACAGTGCCTCCTTTTAATCATTGTTAACTCTGCAAACCTAGACCTTAATAATAATTAAATACTAGTCGCATGCTTTTACTAAGGACTTGCACCATTTAAACAGCCGTTTTTGAATAAATCTTTGCACTAACCCACGATTTCCAATGTAACTAACTACCCACTATATAACCTCCATTTAAATCTCTCGGTCAAACACTTCAAGTAATCCTATTTTCTGAGCTTCCAAACTTCCTAGAATTTCTAGAATTCTCTTGCCTTCACAATTCTTTCTTGTTTTCTGCCTTCAATTATCTTTACTTCCTTTCCAGAATTAACTATGGCACCTAAAACCCATCCCGAACTCTTCAATTTTCTTCGAGGAAATAGAAGTGTATTCGTTGGGCCTAGCCTAGACTACCTGAGTCCCAATTGTGCATGGTGCACTCTTGGCAAGAATGGCAGCATGGGAATCATGGCTCTATCTTTGAATTCGACTAGTGTGGATTCTTCTTCCTACGTCTTCTACAGTAATGCTTTTACAAGTATTCTTCTAATACTTGGAGTTGCCATCAGGGTTGCAGTTTCCTTGTTCTAGAAGCTTTTAGGTCGTCACCTTAGTTGGGCAACCGTTCTCATCAACTACTAAACACTGCAAGATTCCAATACTAGGATTGTAGAAGTTTGATTCTACAACATTGGCAGTGGGGAGAAGTAGCTATGACTCGACTTCCACAATCTCCCAAAATTCTAGTTCCTCTTCGGCTCTAGACTCGTGGTAGACAACAACATGTTGATGTAAAGTGGATGACATAGACAGACTTTGGTGAATCCAATCTCTACCTAGCAATGCTCCATAAGTAGAGCTGTTATCCACCACAAAGAATGCCAACATAATTTGCTTGGACCCTAAGTCAACTTCTAAAAGCAATATCCCATAAGTTCTAGTGATGGCTCCAGAGAAACTCGAAATTGTTAGATCAGTGGGAATAAGATGTTCCTCACTTTTACACAACCTCTTCATTTACTTGATTGGGAGCACATTGACATCCGCTCCCCCAACCATCAAGACCCTTTTAAAAGGTACTCCCTCCAGATGAGCAATTATATATATGAGCTTAAGATGGTTCGCTTAGGATATACTTGGTCTACTGAACACCATCTGGTCAGAATATACCCTATCGGCCTCCTTTAGTGTAAGTTCAGGCAAGTTTGCCACGCTTGGTCCCTTTTTCCCAGCTTCCTCAACACTAACAAGTGCCATCATTGGTTCTGGTGCCAAATAATCACCCTCCATTGTGGCTGGTTGATCTGGTTCGGCCTAAATCATGACTGATAAAACATAAGTCATGTTTACGTGGAAGTTACTGGGTTTAGGTACGTCTTCTTTCTTTCCTCTAATTTGACACACAAACTCATCCATCCATGCATGTGCATCTTCTGGTAGCATTAACTCGAGCACCTCCTCATCCATTACTATATTAAAATTAAGCAACTGCCTCGGGGCTTCACATGGTGCATATTCTAGTATAGGTAAAGGTATCCCCCTCTCAAGAGAAATAATGCCAAAACAGAGAGGTTCAGGTCTCTAACTTGGTGTAAGCATCATCACTGCACTCTCCTAAGCTCTTCTCAACACTTTGTACTTTCTTGGATAAGGATTCTGTGGTACATGATCTCATTCACCTTCCATCTTGCTATTAGCTCTTTCTATCTCTTTTTTGTTCTTCCATTGGAGTTGTCTTCTTTCACCTTGTGTAGCCTCCTCGAA